ACACATACACACATGCATACATACATGCATACACGCATATGTACATGCATATACATTTTTACATGTTTATATGTACAGTGGTGCTTGAAATTTTGTGAACCCTTTATAATTATCTATATTTTTGTATAAATCCTGTTTCCTGGAATATCTTGCAAAAAGATCTGAAGCTCTCGATCTTGACCTCTGTAAGTAGCTTCAAACATCTGTTAAGTTCCTGGGAAAAACCTATGCAGACATGTTCTTGTTTTTAATTTTCTACACCGACTTACAACCTAGCTGGGGTTTTTTTTGTTACATTTTCTTTTAGATACCATTTTATTTTCACTTGTTATTCTCAAGTTGTATGCATCCTTTATGATCGTCTACTGTTGTCATCACTCTTTGTTAAAATGAGGTCTCTCTTATAAATGAGTCCCCAAGGCTCAATAAAGGTTGAATGAAAAAAAAGACCTAAAACATCATCTGATTTTCACATAAGTCCTAAAAATACAGAGAATCCCCATTAAACAAATGAGACAAAAATATTAAACTTGATCATTTATTTATTGAGGAAAATGATCCAATATTACAGATTTGTGAGTGGCAAAAGTTTGTGAACATTTGCTTTCAGTATCTGGTTTGACACCCCTCTAAAAAATACCAACAATAAACAGGTCAGGTGCAGACAGAAACATTGAAATGTTTATTGTAGTACAGGATTAATTTTATTGTCCTCTGTGCAGAAAGGGGGAGGAGTTGAAAAGTTTGATAGCTACAGGGAGGAAGGACTTCCTGTGTTGTTCTGTGGGGCACCTCAGTGATCTCAGTCTATATGACTGAAGGTGCCGCGGTAAGAGTCCAGTGTGTCCTGCAGGGGTTGAGACGTGTTGTTCAGGATCTGGAGCAGTTTCCTCAGCATCCTCTGCTCAGACATCTCTGTCAGAGACTGCAGGTCCACTCCCAGAACTGAACCAGCTCTCTTGATGAGTTTATCAAGTATGTTGGCATCATCTTTCATCACCCTACTGCCCCAGCAAACCACAGCAATGAAGAAGATGCTGGAGACCACTGAGTGGTAAAACATCTGCAGCATGGTCCTGCAGACGTTAAAGGACCTGAGTCTCCTCAGAAGAAAAAGGCAACTCTGCCCTTTCTTGTAGAGGGAGTTAGTGTTAGTTGTCCAGTCCAGTTTATCATCTAGATGGACCCACAGGTACTTGTGGCAGACCACAGTGTCCACCTTAGTACACTTGATGTTGATGTTTTTTTTTTTTTTTTTTTTT